TGTGCTCATGATGAGATTTAAAGTCTGAACAGACCGATGAATTGGTTACAAGTGGCAGAAACTCAAAGCAAACCTGGTTAAGAAGTGGACCATGTTGGCTTGCACGAATGATAAATCCAAGGGTAAAACTCACTCTCATCTAAATAATATATCAAGAACCTGTCCTTTCCCGTACATTTGTCTTCTTTCCCTTAGTTTTCCCTTTTTTTCTTTTCTTCTTTCTTTTTCTTTCTTTCTTTCTTTCTTTCTTTCTTTCTTTCTTTCTTTCTTTCTTTCTTTCTATTGGCTTAATTTTTAGGCCAGCTCTTTCCTGTGGAATAAGAGGGACACCAGCAGCTCAGCCCCCCATTCTAGCTGATCACCAACCTCAGAGAGAAGACTGTTTTCTCTGATCCATTGAACAAAATCCCTGGGCTTGATGCTTGTTGATAAGAATTCAATGAATATCCATTTCTCACCCACTCACCAGGGGAAAGGGATATAAAGCTTGGAGCACACACTCACACTTAGCATTTGAGTGGGGCATATTTGGAGGACTAGATTAACCACAGCAAGCCACATGGATGAAAAGAGGGAGGCATTTTTCCCAAAGGAAAATGCAAGTTTCTTTTTAAACAGGAATGGATGCTGGACAGGGTAAAAACAAAAAAGGAAAGCAGATTACTGTGGAGGAAGATGGGAAGAACATTCTAGGCAAATAAATCAGCATACAAAAATCATGGAAATATGAAATTGTGTAATTTGGGGGAACAATAGTAGTTGAAAGTGTTTCCAGAAAAGATTATGAATTGGTGGCAGAGGGTAGGAGGACTGTTTAGTAGAAGCACCTCCTTTCTCAGTACACATTGGAGTACTTATCTTAACTTCCTCACTATAGATTTCATTGTAGAAAAAAAGCATAAAGGAAAGTATTTTAGTTACTTAAAGATAGTCTGCAAATGTTTTCCTTCTCTGTTTGGCTTTTGGAAAAACATTATATGTTACTGCCTGCATCTGTTATTTGTAAACATAGCATACCACATACATATTCACAGACTAATGCCTTCATTATCTTCAATCCCTTTCTTAGTATTTTTCTTGTTTAGTTTTTCTTTGCCTTGTAATTCAGTCATGTCTCATACATTTCTGTCTTGGATCTTGAACCTTAAGAGGACAAGATAAATGTCTTTTTCAAATTTTTTGTGTGTCTTTTTGCAGAAGCTAGTAATTTCCTTGGCCATAATCTGTTCTCAATAAATTTTGTTTGAATTGGTTTACATGGAATTATATCCTTCAAAAATTTTATGAACTAAATTGTCATTATGAGGCTGATGTTATATTAGCCCAACTTCCACATTATAGTAATAATATATCTCTGTTTTTCCTTCTTTTTCTTATCTGTATATAACTGTCTACTTAATTTTTAAAATACTTTAAGAAAACTTGAGATCACACAATATTGGACTAAAGAGAAGGATGACTGACGAAAATAATGATAGATTAGAAAACACAAAGAAACGGAAAAACAGTCCATGCTCATGGATTGGAAGAACAAATATTGTTAAAATGTCTATACTACCCAAAGCAATCTACAGATTTAATGCACTTTCTATCAAAATACTAACAGCATTTTGCACAGAACTAAAACAAGCAATCCTAAATTTTGTATGGAATCACAAAAGACCCCGAATAGTCAAAGCAATCTTGAAAAAGAACAAACGAACCTGGAAGTATTACAATTCCAGACTACAAGTTATATTACAAAGCTGTAAATAAATAATCAAAACAGTATGGTACTGTCACAAAAATAGACACATAGATCAATGGAACAGAATAAAAAGCTCAGAAATAAACTCACAATTACATGGTCAATTAATCTTTGGCAAAGGAAGCAAGATATGCAATGGGAAAAAGACAGTCTCTTCAATAAATGGTGTTGGGCAACTGGACCACTGGACCACTTTCTTACACCATACACAAAAATAAAATCAAAATGGATTAAGGACCTAAATGTGAGAACTGAGACCAAAAATTCCTAGAAGAGAGCACAGGCAGTAATTTCTTTGATATCTGCCACACAGCATCTTTTTAGATATGTCTCTTGTGGGACAGACATAGGGAAACAAAAGCAAACATAAACTATTGAGACTATATAAAAAAGCTTCTGCATAGCAAAGGAAACAACAAACAAAGCTAAAAGACAACTTACTGAATGGGAGAGATATTTGCAGATGACATATCCTATATATATATATATATATATATATATATTCAAATATATTCAAATATATATATTCAAATATATATAAATATATATATATTCAAAATATATCTGTATATAAAATATCCAAAATATATAAATAACTGATAAAACTCAAAACGAAAAAAATAACAATCTAATTAAAAAGGGCAGAAGACATGAATGGACATTTCTCAAAGACATCCAGATAGCCAATAGAAACATGAAAGGGTGCTCAACTCATCATCAGGGAAATACAAATAAAAGCTACAATAAAATATCACCTCACACCTGTCAGAGTGGCTAAATTAAAAATCACAAGAAACAACAAGTATTGGCAAGGATGTGAAGAAATAGGAACCCTCAGGCACTGTTGGTGGGAATGCAAACTGGTGCACCTACTGTGGAAGATAGTATGGAGATTCTTCAAAAAATTAAAAATAGAATTACCTTACAATCTGGTAATTTTCTACTGGATATTTACTCAAAGAAGACAAACATACTAATTCAAAGGGATACATTTACCTCTATGTTTATTACAGCATTATGTATAATAGCCAAATTATGGAAGCAACTTAAGTGTCCATGATAAATGAATAAAGAAGATATGACATATACATATCAAATATATATATATATATATATATATATATATAAAATTGTATGTGTATATATTTGTGTGTATATGTTATATATAATATTATATAGACATATAGTGGAATATTAGGGGCCTCTGGGTGGCTCAGATGGTTAAATGTCTGACTTCAGCTCAAATCATGATCTCATGGTTCGTTGGTTTGAGCCTCGCATCAGGCTCTGTGCTGACAGTTCAGAGCCTGGAACCCACTTCACATTCTGTGTCTCCCTCTCTCTCTGCCCTTCCCCCACTAACACTCTGTGTCTCTCTTTCTCAAAAATAAAATTTAGAAAACATTAAAAAATAATGGAATATTATTCAGACATAAAAAAGAATGAAATCTTGCCATTTGCAACAATATGAATGGATCTAAAGAGTACAATGCTAAGTAAAATAAGCCTATCAGAGAAAGACAAATACCATGATTTTGTTCATATGCGCAATTTAAGAAAAAAACAAACAAAAGAAACAGAGAGAGGGGGACAAACCAAAAAACAGACTCTTAACTATAGAGGACAAACTGGTGGTTGCCAGAGGGGAGGTGGGTAGGGCCATGAATTAAAATAGGTGATGGGGATTAAGGAGTGCACTTCTCTTGATGAGCACTGAGTAATGTATAGAACTGTTGAATCACTATATGGTACACCTGAAATGAATATAACAGTGTATGTTAATTACTCTGGAATTAAATTTAAAAAACAGGTCAATAGAGTAAGAAAGAGAGAAAAAGAAATGGCAGAAAACACTTCCACAAATTTGTAGCCACAGGAGAAATTGGAAAATAAAACTTTAGGGGAGTGCCTGGGTGGCTCAGTCAGTTAAGCATCTGACTCTTGATTTCAACTCAGGTCTCAACCTCACGGTTCATGAGTTTGAGCCCCGCATTGGGCTCTATGCAGAGTGTAGAGCCTTCTTGAGATTCTCTCTCTGCCGCTCTCTTTCTCTCTCTGCCCCTCCCCCTTCTCAAAAAAATATATAAATAAACATTAAAAAAAATAAAACTTTAGGAAAAAGAAACCGCAATATGGAATAAATGTTGATGAATGAAAAATAGAATTCTGATAGCATCATCCTACCTACTTATGACTCATATTCTAAAGGTTACAAAACGTATACATTTTTATCATAATGACAAACATGTAGGTAAAAGTACGTAATTTGAAATTCAGGAATTAACTCATTTAAATTCAGAACAGCTGAGGTTTTTCTCATTGTAATAACAAAATGTTGATTTTATTTTCTTTATATAATTTTATTTAGGGGCACCTGGGTAGCTCAGTCAGTTAAGCCTCTGACCTCGGCTCGGGTCATGATCTCATGGTTCGTGGGTTCAAGCTCCGCGTCGGGCTCTGTGCTGACAGCTCAGAGCCTGGAGTTGCTTCAGATTCTGTGTCTCCCTCTCTCTGCCCCTCCTCCGCTCACACTCTGTCTCACTCTCCTTCAAAAATAAATAAATATCTTAAAAAATTTTAAATGTGAACATATTTCCTTGCTTTCATAAATGTGTACCACGGGGTCTCATTTTACATTGGACCTGTTTTTAGGGTAAATTTTTATAAGGCAAAAATGAATACAATCGAAATTATTCTTGAAAGCCCATTAAATTGAAGATAAAGTACAGTATACACGGCCAAATACAAATTCCTACAGGAGAGTAATTTATTATCCCTTTATAATGTCAGTCAATTTGAAGTGGCTTTTGGGTACTTGGGCAACATTTAAGGTTCATGTTATACAAAACAAAACAAAAACAAAAACAAAACAAAACCTCAAAAGCATATCATGATACACTCATACTGGAAGAGACACAGGACAGATATAAGTGACTGAGGGAAGGGCAAGTGTGTCTGTTTTGCATAGCCTTTATTCTTGGATATAGGCTTATTTAATACTATATATCTTTATCCCTCTCCCAAAACTAGTGACATTCATGTAAGGGCATACATCACAAAAAACCAAATATAACAAAATATTATTTAATACTTGATGATCCAGACAAAATCATGGTTTTAAGGACAAACGAATATTTTGTAATTTGGGACTCCTGTAATTTGACCCTCTCTCTCTTCTGTCAAAATCTCTCTTTGGTGACCTCATACAATTTTTCCCTCCTGATGTTAATTGGTTCTAACTTTATCCTTCCAGGGTCATGAAAAAGAAGTGGGGAAGTCATGCCTGATTCTATTTTTCCCTCATGCCACAGATCCAATTTGTCAAGAAATCCCAAAGGCTCAACTTTCTAAATATCCAGAATCCAACTACTCTTCACTGTCTTTATAGTTACCAGTCTGGTTTAATCAATTAGTATACTGACTTTGATTAATTAATTAATTTAGTTGTTTATCTAACAATTATTATTTAATTTTTTTATCTTCTGGTATTAAGCTATTGGTTGATGTTTAGTATGGATAATAATGAGGGGCAGCTTCTTTACTCTTTTTGTTTCTTGCAACTGATATCACAAAGCTTATTATGATTGAATATAAAATATCAATCAATGAACTCTGAAGGGAAACATAGGAGGGTCTCACATGTATAAAAATGATTTTATATTCAGATGCATTTGTGAATTTCTTTTGGATTCTTGGCAGAAATTTTTGCTTTCTGTTGTTTGTTTATGTTCAGCTGATCAGTGTTCTCAGATTAGTTGTATTGATCAAAGGAAACTGATCCTTAAATTTTGGTCTTTTCTCAAATTATTCATGGTTCAGCAACTTGGAAAACATTTTCACTGCAGTTCTCATCTTTTTCACTTTATGAATTGTCCCTCAGTAAAACACCATTCCATGTCCTAAGCATGTTTTATACTCTCAACTTTTCCTTTAGTTTCTTGAGTTTGCTTTTTTAGGCGATTTCAGGTATTTGAAAGGTATCTAAGTTTATATTAAGTGGCACAATACCTTTAAAATTTTTTTTTTCAACGTTTATTTATTTTTGGGACAGAGAGAGACAGAGAGCATGAACGGGCGAGGGGCAGAGAGAGAGGGAGACACAGAATCGGAAACAGGCTCCAGGCTCTGAGCCATCAGCCCAGAGCCCGACGCGGGGCTCGAACTCCCGGACCGCGAGATCGTGACCTGGCTGAAGTCGGACGCTTAAACCGACTGCGCCACCCAGGCACCCCAAGCACAATACCTTTAAAAGAAAAAGTAATCTGAAACTTTGGAACCACTCTTGCAAATAAATAAGAATTTGGGTGCTGCATGTCTCTTGACTTTTTATTTTAAAAGAAGGTATCGATGAAAAAAAAGGAAAAGAAAAAAAGAAAGGATCTAATGTACCTTCAGACAGATTAATTATTTTGGGGGTCAAAGCAATGCTTTTCCTGGGAAGTTGTCAGCTGTCAACTAGAAGGAAATTCTGAGAAAATCAGAACTGAATTAAATGAATTTATTAGATTAAAAGAAGTTGAGTCACTCAATTCTTCTTCTTTAAAAGAATATGAACATTTAAAAAATATGTTGATGTAAGACATTAAATTATAATTCATCAATTAGTGGAATTTATATTTCTCTTTTATGAAATAAGTTTAAATAAAAAAATGTGCTTAGCCTGAAATTTTCTTTTAAGATGCACATCAAAAAGAATATTTTATATGTTCAATATCTTTAACATATATGATTCCAGTTTGACTCTTCTTTTTACAAGCATTCATTTACACTCCCTCATTTTTTTATCTGATATTAAATGAATTAGATTTCAAGAATATCTTTTGCCCTAAAATTGTGATTCAATTTTTTTCATATAATCTCTGAACACTGAGTTTTTAATCCAATTAAAATCATTTCTTGGTGGAGAGGAGGCATGTTACCCTGATAGAAACTAGCACATGGATTCTCAAGTAGGCCAATGTGAAAAATGTACCATGAAAGCAATATTTTCATGTAGATTTTAACATAATCATAGCTGTATTTAGAGATCACATAAAGACCAATCAATTTAGATTCTCTAGAACATAATTTTAAAAACTGAAAATCAATTAGATAACTAAACTATGGAAAACCCTTATGAAACGGTGTACTTTTTAAAGTTTGACTATAAAAGTTCAATGATGTGTAGACAGAGACTGCTACAAGATTATTGCTATCACAATCTGAAATGCGTATAACACAATCTGATACTGTGTTGAGGATCGGTGCATCTGTCCATCTTGCATATCTGCCCTGCTGGAGAGAAAGCAACGGTCAGACCAGTGGAGAGCTCAGTTGCTGAGCAACGGTTCCATCTCGGACATGCTCTTTGCTTTGATTTGTCACAAAGACAAGAAATAAATAAATAAATAAATAAATACACACACACACACACACACACACACACACACTAAAACAAGTCTATCAATAGCAAAGAAACCTGTGATATCATGTTGCTATTAAAATTATTGATCTTCATAGAAAATGAATTTGGTAGAATCAATGTGAAAAGAGATAATTTTACTTTGAATTTTCCTGATCCTGTGCATCCGTAAAATGATTGCTCTGTATGCACAAAGGCACCAAAATTAGACTATTAAAATATTTCCTTAGAGTCTAAGTGATTATGTCTTCCTTTTTCTAACCCGTGCATCAGACTGCGTGCAGTGAAAAGATCACAGATGTGGTAGTTATTGGAATGTTTCAAATCTTTTCAGTTTGAAAGCACATTATGGTTTCTGTTAAATAGGGACATGGATAGTTGGGAATGCTTCGGATTAATGTCTAATTTACTCTATTTGCCTTTCTTCTTATAACTGGACAACTACTTGTAGTCTCATAATTTTCGAATCATCACCCATGAGTCTTAGGTCTTTAGAATGAGCTTCCTGAGTCCTTGTTATTAGTTAGCAAATTTAAAGAACAGGGTGCATTGGCCAAATCTCCATATGCAAACCAAGTGGAAATTAAATGATCTAATGTAACAAAGGAACAAAATGAAATTATTTCTCACAGTATCCTTTGTTTGTCTATTCTTAACCACCATCTTAGAGAAGTGTAAATTAAAAGTCGAAATGATTTATTTCAGAAACTAAATAAATAGAGCACACTGCTGCTTTTTCATTTCATTGTGTACCTTCACTTCTGGTATTTTTTTCCTCCCTCTGAAAGCGCTATTTCAACAAGACCATGTAAATGTCTATAATTGCGAGAGAAAATGTTAATATAACATTTACACAGTTCAACAGCTTCAAAGCTGTTTCATTGACTATGCTTAAAAGGAAACTTCCACACAGAGGCCCCAAGCCCACATAAATGCTAGTTTAGTGGGACATTTGGTGACAGAGCCTTGAAAACAGAAACAAAAAGGAAGGGAAATCAAACAGCCCTATCTTCCAGCCTAATTCAAGCCATTTAGAAGCTCTGTGCTTAAGCCAAGGATTACCAGTGATACTATCTACATCAGCTTTGCTGTTCGGGAAGAAATGTCCCTCTTATTAAAGAGAAAAAGAGGAAAAAAAAAGTAGGGGAGAAGAAAATAGTTTAAAGCCAAGTAATTCAGGCTTGCATAAATCTTTAATGGGTTCTGTCTTCATATGATTGGCTGTGCGTTCTTTTCTCTGCCCAGGGGAAACACTATATGTCTTAGAGGAGAATAATAGTAACTCCATCTTGTGTGTTATATGATATCTTCAAGTAATCCCGAGGATTTTGGCTTTGTCTGCCGTAAACAAAAGGCCACCCATACATAATGTGTCTGGGCTATTCCAGACTCCTCACCTTAGCAGGTGACACCCATAAGATGGACGTCGGAGACTAAGCCCATATGTAGCTGGAGGCAGTTTTGCTCCCAAGACAACTGAGAAAACGTAAAAACAAATAGCATATTTCTCTTCTTGTAAGAACAAAGTGTGATCAGCACCCCGCAGTTGTGTCAATTTTCTGGGCTTTTCTCAGGAGTAAGAATGAAACGTCAAATGACATGCTTTGCTTTGTGAGCTGATGAATACCACGTTGTAGATTCATTTGTTGAAATTATATGAATGGTTCCAAGCCCTCTGTGTCAAACCACAAAAACAAAAGAGAAATTAAGGAATAAATGCATCCACCATTTACATGTTAAGATTTCCATAAAGATTAATAAAAGTTACCTAGAAAAGTCCACTTTGTCTATTTTATCATCATTCTTTCTTATTTTCCTTGGAGCGTTGCTTACTGGGTTACTTTCTGAACAATTGTGCTTCCTAGCTGATGGATTTATTCAGTCAACAAATGTACACCTATTACACGGAAGAGCCTTTCTTCCACTCTGATATTAGGAGAGCTTTCTCTTTTACATCTACTTACTACACAGGTTAACTTGGTAAAAATTTAAATCGGAAAGGGTAAGACCTGAGTCTGCTCTATTTCTTCATCATCTCTGATCAATATCAATTCTCAGCATTCCATGCTTATGAATTACATTGCATATAAATAGAATGTCTTTTGTCATTATCAAATAGTATCAACACATCAGGAAGGGATTTCTAAGTTGCTTGGCTAAAATGAATTATTTAAAAAGCTAGATCTTATAGCAAAAGTGTTTTGAATTTAAGGCCAAAAAATGTGTATTTGTGCTCTTTAATAAGATAACAAATTGTCTCTAGGATACCTGCAACTTTATGCAAGAGTGCATGTTTATTTTTATTTCAGGTTTCCAGGAAAAGTTTTCTTGTAAGGTACAAAAGGAAAATGCTTTGTCAAATACCAATTCTCAGTGAAGAGGTTAAGTTATAATTTTGAGTCCAGTCTTTGGTGATAAAAGACTGGATGTTCATCAACAAACACATACAATAATGCTAATTTCAAAAATTTGCTGCAGTGTATAATATATGGTGACAAATATAAGTAGTAAGTGAAAGGGTAAGTGGTTTTTAAAAAGGATTAACAGAAATACTACTATTATTATTTTTAACATGGATTCAAAGCATTAATTTTATGATATATTTCTATGCAAGTTTAGTATCTTCACACTATGTTTTTTTCTAGTTACCAGAATCATATTAATAATTCATTCTTAGTCTACATATTGTGACTAACAAAAGGGAGGGCCAATTGCCTTCCAATAGATCAAGTTGTTGCTTGATCTTGCTCAGTGTTTTATCTGCAAATTTCATGAAAACAAATTTTAAAAATTCAAAAGAGGAAGAGAGACATCAAAACAACCCAATCATGGGTTGTTATCATGGCTAACATGTTAATGTATCTTATATGACCCTTAATTAGTTGTGAAAATGTGTAGAAACCTGTAATATGTTAGTCATCCAATGGCAATTAAATGATTTAGATTTGGGTCATATAATTCAGTATTTAATGAGACATGTTTACACAATTAGGAATTCAGTGTATATCCCCTAGTTCATGACTTCTTTAACTGATTATTAACTTGTTAAATAAATGTAATAAATATCTGATTAACTGAATTTACTAATATTTTACTCCATTAAAATCTTACATTCTAAGATATGTTACTTTGCTTAATTAAGATGAATTAGCCTCATCATTACTGTGAATAACTTCAGTCACAGAAGATAGGCTTTGACATATGTGGTCACATCTATGGTGAATATACTGGTTTTCTGATTAAGAAACATGTCTCTCAAAAATGCATTTGGGGGGCACAAGGTATGGCCTATTGCCTAGCTTAAAATTTCAGTTTGATGCATATTCTAGACTTTGATGTGATTCCTTCATTCAAGCCTTTCTACAAACAATCTGAATTCATTTGTATTTTCTTCCTGTGTTGCTTTCTAGAACTGTTAGTTTTATACAGTTTACATATACGTAGTTTTCTTTTTATGAGCTTTAAGTTTATGTCACTCAGCTTACAAAGAATTCCTCCGCTTCCAATTGTAGTTTATAAATATATTTTATGCATTATTTTAATGGTTTTAATCATAAAGAGAAATTAGGTACTTAAACCAAAACAGTCATTTATTTGCCCT